GGCCCTCCCGAAAAAACTGGCCCGGCCTCGGCCCCGAAGGCGTCTCGCCGCAGGTCTCACCTCCCTGCGCACGTTCAGCAACGAGTAATAGTCTTCATTGTCCAGCTCCTCCTCGCTCAAGGCCGTCGCCATCTTCGCAACCTTTCACCCTGCCAAACCGGCAAGGCCGTGCTCAAGAGGGCCCGGCGATCCTCGGCCCTGACAGCTCGGGCCGGGCCGGTCGACCCACAGCGGCCCCTGGCGGCCTGGAGTGGCTCCCGCCCTCGCAGCGCCGCGCCGAAATGTTAAAACATAGGGTAGGACGCAGGGTCTCGGCTGCCCCTGCGGGGAGCTGGGTGGCAGCGCTGGACTACGTGCTGTCCGTGCAGCCAGGCCGAGGTCCGAGATTCAACCAGGCCGCCCGAGGGCTTTTTCTGAAGCAGGAGAAGCACTTTAAAGTTACATCTGGGAGGTTGTCACTCTGTGGGCGCTGGGGAGACACCAGCTCCAACACCAGGGAGACAGCGCTAGGAGCCACCCGGTGCAGGGCGCATCTGGATCCCAAATAGCCCCACCAAGCGGGGGGACCCATTCCAGAGGGAGGCTCCATTTAGCCCTGGGGGCTGATTTCTCCGTGCGCGGAAAACCTCCCAGATGAGATTTGTTCCGTCCTTCGCTGTCTTTTCTCTTGGCCACCCAGAAGCCTTCCTGCCCAGAGGACGAAGACTCCTTTTAGTTTTTGTTACTGCCCTGTATTTAGGGGCACCTGTCCATCTTTCCTGCAGCTTAAATGATAAGACAACACACCTTGGGTTCCTAACATAATTGTCTCTGGCAGGCCTACCTACCTACCGTCCCTACCCCAGAGCCATTCTCTTGTAAATTTCTTCCTTATAATTTAGCAGTGGAGTCTAATTGATTTCAACCTGGTGCCTGCTGTTTGGTGCATTATTAAAGATGTCTTGGTTACAATAATCTAAATAATTTAAATGTCTTCGAAAGGATCCCATTATCAAGAGAAGGTGGGTAGCCGCCTGTGCTCTACCGCCTGTCCAGTTCACGCTGACCTCTACCAGGTCTTCCTGGTTTCTGGGGAACCTTGCGGTTCCTTCACTAACCATCGGCTCAGAACCAGCCCTGTTGTCCTTCATAAACGGGTCTCCTGGGAAGCCCCAAACACCTGTCTGTTGATTCCATTCTCTCCCTAATTTTTGGCCAGATGTGCACCATCTGGGCCCGTGTACCATCTCTTCCAAGTTGCCTAGTCCTCTGAGGATCTTTTGGCAAGAGACACTTAGGTGTGCTGTGAGGGTCATTCAGAAGCGTTGGGTCAGTCTGGAGCAGACCAGCAGCACGGTTGTAAATAAAGGACTATTTCTGTAGCTGTGTGTGAAGCTTCCCCATGACCACTTCCACTGTCACTCATGGTCCGTCAGCTCTTCCAGCAATTGTTATAGGCTTTTCTTTTTTCTCCTTTGCAGAGCTCAACTGCGTGCAGACATTTGCTGGTCTTTAAGAATTTCATACAGAGAGGACGAGAGGGAAACGTCGACATTCCTTCTGTCCCTAGGTTTATGGACATTAATTGGGCCCTAATGCTCACTTGGGAATAGAAGCTCTTGGCTATCCCTCTCCTGTGCTGTCAAACATAGCCTGGAGGAATTATATCAACAGGACGAAACACTTCACTATGGGCAGGCCTGTGTTTCTGTGATTGAGAATGACTTGGTTTTTATCGCCACTCAAGAAAACAAATAGAGGGACCAGGTGTAATGGCTAGGTCACTGGACTTCCATGTAGTCGACCGCAGTTCGAGTTCTGGACCTGGTGGCTTAAATTCGGGTGCATGTGCGTGCGTGTCCAAGATCCGGAGAGCAGAATGGAGGAGAAGGGATTGCGGCATGGTCATCCCCCTTGGGGGGTGATTTCTCACTTTGGGTCTCTCTGTCTCTCTTTGTCTTTCTGGCAAGTACATGTGCCCTGTAGCAAAAACCTCTCCAAAACAAAACAACAAAAACCAAATAGATACTCTGTCTCTGTCTCCTCTTGGGTCCATGATACTTTGTATTATGGTTACTTATACAGTGCCTGTGCTAAGTGAGTCTAGCTAACTTAGATACATCCTAGGCCTGGGGAATCTATTGGATTGCCGGGAAATTCATAATGGGCCATTTCTATGCGAAGATGCATGACTTTTCTGACCACCCTATATTTATTTAAAAAGCTGATTCCCTCATTTTTTCCCCTCCAAAAATTCTGACCTGTGATGAGCAAAATGATGGCAACCAGGAGATGTACAAATTTCTAAGTTCAAAACGCCTATCCAACTCACACTAGAGCAACCAACAAAGTGCAATCGTTTCACTGACAGCCTTGCACTTTGATTTTCTTTTTATCAGGTAAAGCCACAAAACAATTTGTAACTATTCCTTACACCTACATAATGTATTTGTATAACTCTATATACATGTGTGTACATATTTTATATACGGGTATATGCAACCGTTATGGAACTCTCTCATCTTCAGAATGACACCCAAACCTTTTGGCTCCCAGCACAGTCCTCTGTGTAGCCACTTGATCAGTATCGTCTGTTCACTGGCTCAGTTCAGTGCTGGAACCTTCTAGCAGGTACTAGAGGTAGGATTGCCGGATTAAATAGAGGATGCCCAGGGGCCAGGTGGTGGTGCTGTGGTAATGCAACTAGACTCACACAGAAAAGTCCTGGGCTTGTGTCCTCGTGTCCTCGGGGCCACCCTAAGCATACCAGATATGTGTGTGCATGTCATCCAGGCTGACTGAGACTGGGGGTGGATCATGGCATGAAGATCCTGTCGGGGGTGCCTGTCTCTCTGTCTTGCTCTTTCATGGAAGAAATAAATAAATAAGCCTAAATAAATAAATCCAGGATGCCCAGTAAAACTTGAATTTCAGATAAGCCATGAATAATTTTTTAAAAATTTCTTTTGCTGTATGATGCTTGCACTCACCAGAAAGAGAGAGAGAGAAGAGAATGCATCCCACACAGGGGATGGCCATGCCACAATCTCCTCTCCATTCTCTTCTCAGGATTTTGGGCATGTGGACACATACCTGCATTCACTTGCCGTGTTTTTCAAGTTTCTGGGTCCAGGACTTGAACCACACAGTTGGCCATGTGGGGTCCATCTACCTCAATCACCAGGCCAGCAGCTTGCCCCCATGAATAATGTTTGGTGTAAGAGTACTAATATTGGGGCTGGCAGGTGGTGTGGTGGTTAAGGGTGCTGAACTTCCACAAGGCCAAGTGCAGTTTGAGTCCCAGACCTGGTGGCTTGCTTTCTCACTTTCCCTCTCTCTCTCTCTCACTCTGTCTCTCTCTGGTCAAATTAACAAAATAAATAAATTTTAAAAATTATTTTTTAAAATTTTTAAAAAGTACTACTATTGCATGGGGGAAGATATATATATGTGTGTGTGTAAATTGTATATATATAAAATTTATATGTATATATAAGTCATTGATTGTTTAGCTGAGATTCTAGTATAACTGGATATCCTGTATATTTTTCAGCAACTCCAATAGGAGCCCTCTTTCCTTCTCACTCTTCCTGAATAACACTTCTCTCTATAATTCAGGAGGAAAAATTACCTATTATCTTTTTATTATTCCTTTGTCACTGAGTCCAGACTGGGATTTAGTGCTTGCCATTCATAGCCCGTCCTCCCTCTCCCTCGTGAGCTCTGATAACCCTGTTGAAGGAGATAGGGCAGGAAAAAAAAAATCCTTAGCTAAAGGAAATAAGCGAGAATTTGCAGGCACTCAAGAATTAAATTTTCTTGATGTTATCTGCCCCCTGAGCATTCAGTGACTTGTCACTGACATCTTTAGCCAAGATGGTAATTGCAGGAGGGTTGAGTCACCCAGGGAAAGA